AAAACATACATCTAATTTTATTAATAGAGAAGATACATAAACATGGATATTACGAAAATAATAAAAAGCACACATAGACATATATACAAATTATTGCTTTAAAGTAATATTCTTAATCTGTTTTTCCATTTTATTTTTGTTGAAGTTGATAAAGAAGTCAGAAAACATCTAATCGGGTAAAATTTGAAAGATAATCAATGAGAGCAGTGCCTGATGTCCCTCACCGAAATTCGTCTCTATCAACTTTTCTTTTTCGTTGATGAATTTTTTATAACAACCATCTTCAGTTTTCTTAGAGATTTTATTCGAAAAACTATTCTCTTTCTTTTATTTGCTATGGTTGTTACACTTCTAGTGGTGTGTGGCTAAGAAGTACGGGAGCGGATACGGGATATGGACACAGACACGCCAATACGAAATATTTCAAAAAAGTAGGATACAGACATATTAGAGATATGTTAAATAATGTGTGTGTGTGTGTGTGTGTGTATATATATATATATATATATATAATTATGTGAAAAAATAAAAATATTCTCATAATAATCTTTTAATTCATCATTTCCTTAATTGTAAAAATTCACATAGTGATATTACTATATAAAAAAGTATAATATAAGATATACTGATACACATTCAACATTAACATCCATGATCCAATAATCAATGACTACTAAAAATTTCATTCAAAAATATTTCACTTCGTAATACTAATTTTCATCAATTTCAAAGAGCCATAATTTTGTAAACCATTTTTTTTTTCTCACATTACTTTTATCTTAAAAAATTATTTCATTTGAATATAAGTTCATATTTATATTTAAAATTAAATTACATTCATGTCCTATGTTCAAGGTAATGATTATAGCTTCTTTTATATTATGACTTTGACTCATATATCTTTAAAATTACAAAAATAACTCTTAATTATAAAATTATCTAAAAAGTTCTCAAAAAATTAAAAATAAATCTTGAAATATGTTGATTGCGTGTGAATGTGTGCCCAACGTGTCTTGAGCATGCCCACAACGTGTCCCTAACGTATCCTGAAAAAAATTTAATATTAAAAAATTTAGACACTCATTTTAACATGCTTGTAGCGTGTTCATATCCTAAATGTGTCCAAAATTGATACTTTAGCCAAAATAAAGTGTTCGTGTTTCTTAGGTGTGCAACATTGCTCCATTTCTAACTTGGTGTGAAGGATTTCGGGCCTTCATGGTAACCTATGCGAAAATGATTATTTTTATTTTTGTCACGATCATAACCATGACCTCGTCTTTGTCCACGAAAAGATGTGACATATAAATCTGGAATCATGAGAATAACGAAACTCATGATTTTTCATTTGTAATTCATTATTCTTCTCGGCAAGTAAAAGACATGTTATGAGTTCATTATGTCTTAAATTCATTTTGTCGATATTGTTGTTGTCATAGAATATTTGACACATGAAACATAAAATGTCTTCTCTAATTTTTCTGAATCCGGTACAAGTTGACTGCCCAATTCTAGTTTAGCAGTGATTCTATATACTATTGAATTATATTCGCATACAGTCTTAAAGTCTTCGAATCATAGGCTGAACCATTTATGTCTAACCTTCATAAGGTTGATGGTTTTGTGGTGATTAAGCTTGACCTTTAAATTTTTCCACAAGTCTAAAGAATCTTTGATAGTAATGTACTCATTTTTTATTCCTTCATGTATGTGATGAAGAAGAAGAATCAATGATTTTCCACTATACTTAGGAGTTACAGTGTTTTTGTCCTTTTTGGTGTCATCAAATTTTTTGAATCTAACAAAAACTCAACATCTAGAGCCCATGACAAGTAGTTGTGACCTGATATGCCTAGAGCCAAAACTTTTAATTTTGTGATGTTGACCATTTTTGCAAAACTATATAAAACAAAATAATTGAGTTGGATAAAAACAAAATATGCTCGACAAATTGCTGTCATTAGTAGTGGCTGACCACATGTACACCAAATATTCAATATCTTCATTTAAATTTGTGTTTGAATATTAAGATTACATAAATATATTTATCTCTTCGATCATATGTTTATATATGTTATAGGATACAGGCGATACAAAGTAAATTTTTATTTTCTATGAAGTTTGACATAAATTTCTCCCAAATTCTTTTTTGTTATTCTTATTATCTAGGAAAAATTACACCTAAATTCCCTGAAATTTGTCATTTAATCACTTAAATCCTCGTAAGGTTTGTGCACTTAGACCCCTGTCATTAATGTTCGTTAATATATCCATTAGTAAAATATACAAAGACCTCTTAAAGTTTGTAGACATATAACACTTAGACCTCTTAAGTTTAAAATATTACACTTAGATCCCTTATTAATTACGAAACTGACAAAATTTATTAACTAACTAAATTACCCTAATTAAAGATACAAGATATCGTGTTCATTGCAGTTTGATCCCTTGTTTGAATTTGTATTTTATTTTATTCCAATAGACAGTATAATTGTACACAAATGAGTGTTGTATTGAGTTCTTTAACATATTTATACTGATTACTATTTTTTCCTCAAAAAATGGGATTTTGTTTAGCTTTTATGTCAATAGATAATATAATAGAACATGTAAATGTGTTGATTAGGGCTATTTCATATATTCTTACTTAATGATGGAAAAATTGACCTAAGGTGAAAAATCCATTTAGTTCAACTTCAAACTAACGTGGAGGTCGTCAAAATTTTGACATCAACAATACTATTTTTTTTTATTTTTTTTTAAATATGTTTTTTGGGGAAGAGAGGGGAGGGGTGGGGACTTGAACCCTTAATCTTAAGAAGGCAAGATTTTCACAAGACAAGAAGTACCATTGGACCAAATATCCATTGGTAACATCAACAATACTAATTATGATTTTTTAAAGTAAAAATTAAATTTTTATTGTTGATTTTATTTCAATAAATAACATAATAGAATATGAATTTTGGTTGTAAAATTTAAAATATTTGATATTCTATCTTTAATTAGAGTATTTTTAGTATAAGTGTAATATTTTAAACTTGAGGGGTCTAAGTATTATATATTTCAAATCTTAGGGTTTTGGATATAATTTACTAATGGATATACTAACAAACATTTAACAGCAGTGAACTATGTGTTACGCGCTTACAAATCTTAGGGAGTTTGTGTATAATATTTTAAATATCAAGGGGTTTAAGTGATTAAGTGACAAATTTAAGAGAGTCTGAATATACTTTTTCCCGATTATCTATGTAGTAATAATTTCCTTTTTCTTTTATGTAATCATACATTACTCTGGTTATGATTTTTACAAATTTATTTGATGTAATCTTTATTGAAGAGTCGCTTGTAGTTGATTTCTATTTTTGTTCTGGTAAGTTACTAATACTCCTTTTAAACTAGCATCGTTAATAAAAGATCTTATTTGTTTACATCGATTTTCTATCAAAGGAACATATTTATAAATTTGCCATAAAAATTTTGGGGATGAAAATAGAATTATTTAAAAGTTAACAGACCTAATCAATACTTATTTAAGATAAGGGGGTCAAATTTTAAAATTGATTATATTAAGCCCATTGTAACCTTTTAATATTTTTTGGCTTCAAAATAATTATTATTCATATAGATTAAGCAATATTTTTTATTATTGTTACAACGCCTAAATGACATATTCGAATCAGTGACCTCCACTCTCTCAATGTGGGGTTAACTATCTCAGATAGAACTGCATGTCTGAACAAATCTGATGAAAAAATAGATAAATATAAATGGATATAATAAGAAAATACTGTAGGCAATATTAATATTTCACGTGCTATTGGCACGATTTTATGTATTCTCAAGATTTAAAATAAGCTTTAGGCCCTACAAATTAAATTATGATCTTCTAGCATCACAATAATTTGCTAACTTTAGGTATGTAATTTATGTGGCTTTTTCTAGCACAGTAAAATTCCTATGTACTTCAGGTACGAAAATTTTCATGTTCTTCATGAATATAATTATATTAAATTTTTTATGTAATGTAAGTACACAATTTGATGATGCACAAAATATGTTATGCACAATCAACAGTCAAGTATATGATGCAGAGAAATTAATGAAGCAATTAATTAAGCAATTATAGTCAAAAGGCAAAGAATGGGTGGTTGGGTCGAGGTGACCAAACCATTAAAGACGGCGACGGTGGCCTAAGAATTTTATTAATAAAGTAAGTGGGAGAGAGAGAGAGAGAGAGAGCAAGGGTAAGCTCTAGGTAGTTATGAGAGAGATAACTATTTAAAAGGTGCATAGAGAGATGTCCCTTATGTGTAGAGGATCTACAATTTATAAGCACAGAACCTTAGTTGAAGTCAAGGAGGGTAGGTTATACTAGCTTTCCGGGGAGGATAGCTACTACTAGGATATGTATAATTAGAGATTGTCTTGATATTTGAGGGTGGCTATCCTGGTAACTACTCCCCACATGGGCTAATGTTACTGGACTCCTTGAACTATGGACTGGGCTGAATCCATGAGTTAGAATTGACCTACTTTGTAGCTAATTTGGACTCACCCATGGACTGGGCCTAGGCCTAGCTAGATTTGGGCTCATCATTTGCCCCTATGCCCCAAGTCCTTGCGATGTCAAGGAAATTGAGGGCATGAGTGTGCTCTACATTTAGGCAAATAGGTATCTTGTGTTCCATGGTTCATCACTTCATCCTTCTGTACTTACAAAACTCCTCTTCTTCATTTGGTAATTTCATGGTTGGAAAACTATTGTTCTAACCATCATCCCTTTGTTGGGTATCTTGTCGAACTTGACAGTAAAAGTCCCCCTTTTTACCCAGGACATTGCTACTAGGTTTTTAAAGAGCACCCCCACCTTACCCACCATATCTCTTTCATAATCAGGGTTTATAAATACCCATCCCTATTCTATAACCCAATAAGAGAGATACAAAATTGAGCGAGAAAACAAAAAAAAAGGGGTCCCAAAACCAAAAGAAATCATGGAAGTTCCCACTGAATCTACTAAGGGCTCCTCCAATACCCAAAGGAGTAGTGGTGTCGTCACCAGAGGTGTAGGAGGAATCATTGCCAAAGTCAATAAGAGAGGAGGCAGAGGCGGTCTAGGTGCCAGGAGCACATGTGGCCCCAAAGATGACCTGGGCGACGCCAAAGGTTTGGGCAGCACCAAGGGCTCAAGCGAAGCTAGTTTCGCGAAGGGTGAGGCTCTTGAGAAGGATGGCGACACATCGGGTCACGTTCCTGGCAACAACAAAGAGAGCGACATCCATGGGTATGAGTAGAGTGGGGACACCATAGGGTCTGGCGCCCTTCACACTAGTCTGGGCGAACACAGGATGACAGTAGGAACAAGTGGTGCCAAATCGGTTACCATGAGCTTTTGCAACTCCGGATCAACTGCGAAAGGCTTGGGCGATGCCGGAGCTAGCCTTGGAGATGTTAGGAAGGACGTGGAGTGCACTGGATTGGGCGGCGATGCTAGTAACAGGGGTTTTGACAGCATTAATGGCCTGGATAGCATTGGATGCACAAGCAGAGGAGTCTTTGGTAGAAAGGAGCTGGGCGAGGCTCTGGGCATGGATGTCAAAGTGGGGAGGAACCCAGGCCACATTAGTATTGTGTTAGGTGGTGCCAATTGCGTGCTAGGTGATGCCAGCTGCATGCTAGGTAGTGTAGGTGACTCCTGCGGTTTGGGCGACACCTATGATGCACTGGGCACCGATCTTTGTGACATGTTGGGGGCAGGATCAGGTTTAGGCACTGGAGGTGATGGATCAGACTACGAAGGAAAACAAGGTATCGCCATCCATCCAGCTGACTTAATCTCATTCATAAGCTTTTGTGAATCCTGGTGCCCCTTCACCTTTACTAGCTTCTGTTTTTTTAGGTGCCTGAACTAGTAGGCGTAGTACGGTGGAGGTTAGGCAGGCTTCACAGTGAGCCAAAGGAGTTGTTGAATGTGATGGTTCAAAGGTAATATCGATCTTTAGTTCCATAGACTGTGATGACGACATTGCCCGCATTGTATGTTCATTCCATGTCCCTCTTGCCGTTATGTGTTGTCGGGCTGAGGGGGATAAGCCGTCATGTTGTGACTTCTTGGTTGAGATTTTTTTTATGAGGACATCTTAGAAGTGGGTTTGAGGTTCTCGATACTTAGGCCTATATGTCGGATCCTGGGCCACTTGTCACTTACTCTAGGGAGACTGACCCCGAATGGTTGGAGGGTAGTCTTGGTGTTCTTTTCGCTATGGCAGTTGGTCCTCAATGCTGACATTCCTCCTCCTTTTGAGGAGTTCTTGGCCTCGTACATGTTTCTAAATAACTGTAACGCTCCAAAATTCTCATTGGACGACATTACTATTTAAAATCATTTACATCATGAGAGCAACTAATAAAATTCATAAAAAAAGATAATTTCATTCATCATCCATAATATATATATAACATCATCCAAAAGAATATGTCAAATCATGACAATTATATCCAACAGAATCAAACTTAATCTCGCAGCGGAATAACAAAAGATTAGACTTCACATTGTCTCAAAATAATTTCCTAGTCTAGAACATGAGAGAGAGTATAGCTCTAAACATCTGTCTCGGGATTTACGTTCCCATCTATTGGAGCTTCCCAATGTACCGGCTCATCAACTTTGAGCTCCTCCTCTAAATCGAAATCTGAAAAATAAATATTGTTTGTAGAGGGTGAGCACTAAGCTCTGTAGGAAAATCCTACCAAACTTGGGCAAGATTTTGAAAACATATAAAACAAGTCGGTCTCATTTCACAACTATCATATATAAATTTTTGAAAGAAAACAGTAACAGTTCATCCGATCAAAAGTTTAAGCAATATCAATAAATTAAAAGAAGAGATCAAACCAATTTCCCACAATAAGCCATTTCCAATCATAAACCATTTCCACAACAACAAACACTATCCACAATTTGTACCATTTTCAACAATATATCAAACCACAACTTTTATCTTTCACAACATTATGTATCTTAGGTATAATGTATGACATCGCATGAATAAACACATCGAGAATATCCTGGCCCACACACACACCCAATCCTCGCAAGGATATCCAACTTTTAGGAAGGGCGTATACCAACACATTGACAGTGACGAATCCAACCCAGGAATAGTATACTAACTCTCATCCTCGGCGCCCATGAGAGAATAGTGGTTTGGTCCTCATAAGACACCAACCCCACTATGAGTGGTAGGAAAAATTCAAGCCCGCACGGAGTAAGAAATGCATCTACCCACTCTATGATACCCGGTCAACGGCCATCCATGGTCATCCAAACATCCACAAGAAATATAATTCCCAACAATTTTCTCAAATGACAAGCAATTCCAAAATCCCCAAATTTTACATGTAGTATTACCATAGAACAATTTAAGAAAATAAGAAAAAGATCATTAACAATACAATTTTATTGTTCAATACAAAGCACTAAAGTTTTGAAATCAAGAGAAAATTCATTTCTCTTGAAAACTAGGGTTCTAAGGCAAGAAAAAGAGATTTGATAGCTATTCCACCATAGCTTCCTTCAAAACATGGAAATCTTTACAAAAATATCAAGGAGTAAGGATTTTATAGCATACATATATGATTGAGAGTGAAATATATATATATATATATATATATATATATATATATATATATATATATATATATATATATATATATATATATAAGCCCTAGCCTCAATGAACAAGAGTGGGAAGAAACTCCTGCCTTGAATCAAAAGTTCCAAGCAAAACTCCAAGCTCTAGAGACTTCCTTCCTCCCTTTTCTTTTTCCCTTTATCTTCTCCTAGGATTCTATGTGGTTTGGGGTGAGTGTGGAGTGAAGGGATGGAAGAGAATGAGATGAAAATGGTGTTTTAAAGCCAGTCCAATCCCGAATTTTACTGTTCTTAGGGCCAAAATTATATTTTTTTCTCCGAAATTACGGGTTTGCCACTAAATATCTCAAATTTGATTTCTATGACTACCCTAAGATTTTTAGACGTCTTGGATTCTTATTTAATGTTATTTTAACCTAAAAATATTTAGTTTTATGATTTATCTTTATTCTAAAGTATATTTATGCTCGAAACACTAAATTTACTATTTTATTCCTCCGAACCGCTATTAGTGAAGGTTTTAAATCAATTGACCCATCCGGGTTCCAACATACCATCATTGGTACTCTATTATTGTCCATTTATAACATTTGAAGGAAAGAATACATAGTCCCAAAGCTTGGCAAAACAATTTTAGAAAGAGTACCGGTACTTTATGCTCTCTGTACAGCGTGGTACCGGTACACGGTGCCGGTACTATTTGTCTGAATTTGTCTGTTTCACCTATTTTTTATTTTTAATCCATTCCAAACCCTTCTAAAACTAACCCAAACTTATACAACATATATTTGTCTATTAAACATAGTTGGTACAAGTTCTACTACAAACGATTTCATATATTTACCCGAGTTTTACAATATTAGCATTTCCAAAAAGAAATGATTATTTGCTATATATAGATAAGAGTGTGGGGGGGGGGGGGAGTTTACAATCCACCCCCTTAAAGAAAGTTTCGTCCTCGAAACTTACCTCATAGTAGCGAACAAATGAGGGTACTTCTCGCGCATCTCCAGCTCTGGTTTCCCAAGTAGCTTCTTCCACCCTATGATGTTGCCACAAGACTTTCACCAGTTGAATGACTTTATTGCGAAGTACCTTCTCCTTGGTATCTAGAATCTCCACCAGTTGTTCTTCATATGTTGCCCCATCTTGTATTTCTATACTCTCCAAATCTAGGACATGCGTTGTATCCGATTGACACTTTCTCAACATTGACACATGGAACACGTCATGTATTCCTGACAACTGAGTTGATAACCGAAGTTGGTATGCCACTTTACCCACTGCTTTGATCACTTTGAATGGTCCGATATACCTTGGAGCTAATTTTTCTTTCTTGCCAAATTTATGCACTCCCTTTTTGGGTGACACCTTGAGGAACACATACTCTCTCTCTTGGAATTCTATGGGTCTTTTTCTTCTATCCGCATAACTTTTCTCTCTACTTTGCGCCATGCGTAGTCTTTCCCGGATAAGTTGAATTTTCTATGTAGTTTTTCGAACAATTTTTGGCCCAAACAAGCTATTCTCGCCATCTTCTAACCAACAAATTAGGGACCTACATGGTCTTCCATACAATGCCTCATAAGGAGCCATTCCAATACTTGTCTGATACCTATTGTTATATGCAAATTCCATCAACGACAAATGATCACTCCAACTACCCTTGAAGTCCAACATGCAAGCTCGTAACATGTCCTCCAAAATCTGTATTACTCTCTTGGTTTAACCATCAATTTGGGGATGAAAGGCAGTGCTAAATTGTAACTCTGTCCCCATAGCTCATTTTAGACTTTGCCAAAATTGTGCCACGAAATGAGAATCACGATCCGAAACTCTATGTAATCTAACAATATCGCGAATATAAAACTTGCTCAAGGTCTCTAAAGTGTCCGTGGTCTTCATACTCAAGAAATGAGTAGACTTGGTAAGTCTATCTATAATGACCCATTCGGCATTATGTCCGCGTGAAGTCCGTGGAAAACCAAACACGAAGTCCATGGTGATGTAATCCCACTTCCACTCTGGAATAAGCAAGGACTATAATAATCCTCCGGGCTTTTGATGCTCAATCTTCACTTACTGACACACCCGTGCACTTTGAAATGTACTTAGCCACATCTTATTTTATCCCTTTTCACCAATATTGATGCTTCATGTCCCTATACATCTTGGTACTACCTGGATGTATGGAGAATTTTGAACGATGACACTCACCCAACATTTCTTCCCTTACTTGGTCATTACTTGGTACACATAGTCTTCCACGAAACTGTAACTCATCATCCTGTATCAAAAATTCTTAACAATCTCATACCTCTCCAATCTACCTCGGATAGCTCCCAACTCGGTGTCTAATCATTGCAACTCCATAATCATTTGTCGAAGAATTGGTTGAGCTACAAGATTAAATAAGCATTATTGATCCCCCTGTCTATCCACCCATAGATCAAATTCCTCCAAGGCATCAATCATCTTCCACCTATTAACAGCAAGAACATTGATTTCACCCCTGAGACTTTCTTCTTAGTGCATCTGCTGCTTCATTCGCCTTCCCCTTGATGGTTGTTGAGTGTGAAATCCTAATCTTCTAGATACCCAATCCACCTTCTTTGCCAAAGATTCAAGTCTTTATGGGTGAATATATACTTGAGGCTCTTATGATCAGAATACATTTTAAACTTTTCTCCATACAAGTAACACCTTCATAACTTAAGCTCAAAAATCACAACGGCAAGTTCTAAGTCATAAGTGGGATAGTTTTGCTCATGAATCTTGAGTTGTCTTGAGCCATAAGCAACTATCTTACTTCCTTGCATTAACACACATGCCAAGCTTCGTAACGAAGCATTGGTGTAAACCTCGTATCCTTCCCCACTGCTCAGAATAATGAGAACAGGAGCTATTGTCAACCTTTCCTTCAAGGTGCGATAGGCTAGTTCATACTCTTTAGTCCACAAGAATCTTTTCCCTTTTTTTTTTAAAGCGAGTCATTGACATGGCTAGTTTTGAGAACCCTTCCACAAAGCTCCGATAGTAGTCTACTAAGCCTAGAAAACTACGTATTTCGATCACATTCTTCGGTGGTTCCCACTTCATCACTACTTCAATCTTTGCGGGGTCAACAGCTACACCCTGTTCTGACACCACATGACCAAGAAATTTCACTTCCTTTATCCAGAACTTGCATTTACTCATCTTAGCATACAATTTATGCTCTCTTAATGTCTGTAGCACAATCGAGAGATGACGT